TACTACTACTACTACTACTATCAGTCTTGTTATGAAAATTATACTCGAAGCCCCGTCAAAATAATACAATACAACATAATGTAATATAATATAATATAATATGAAAAAACAATAGATAATACATAGTCTATAATTTATCATCTACAAACTATAATATATAACCTATAATCTATAATCCATAATATATAATAATAAATATATATATATATATTATATATAACATATAATTTAAAATATATAACATATAATATATAATATATAATAGATAATATATAATAGATAATATATAACATATAATAGATAATATATAATATGTAATATATGATATTAATATATATTTTCAGCCCCTTCAGCTTTGTCGGTCCAGGCGCCATCGGCGCGCTGCCGCCCGGGAGGCCGAGCTTGCCGAAGCCCGCGAAGTCCCCGGGGGCGCGGTCCTTCTCCTGCCTGGTTCAGGCTTTAGGGTTTAGGGTTTAGGGTTTAGGGTTTAGGGTTAGGGTTTAGGTTTGAGGGTTGAGGGTTGAGGGTTTAGGGTTGAGGGTTGAGGGTTGAGGGTTGAGGGTTTAGGGTTGAGGGTTGAGGGTTTAGGGTTTAGGGTGTAGGGTGTAGGGTCTAGGGCTTGGGAGTCTGGAGTTTAGGGTTTAGGATTGAGGAGTTTAGGGTTTAGGGTTTAGTTAAACTACATAAATATATGTTACATAGACCCTAAACCCCAACCCGCATTTCAACTGCACAGCTTTGCTTCGGAAACCCCTCTCCTTGCCTTGGCAGCTAAAGCTTTTAGTTGCAGAAGATGGGGAGAAGAAAAGAACCCTGCTAGACCCCTCAAACAATAGGATCCTTAATCGTGGTAATTATTAGCGTTATACAATAGTACCAGTAACAAGGGTAATAACACCAATAATAACAATACTAGCAACGAGAATAACAACCATCATGATAGCAATAGCAACAACAATAATGATAATGGTCATGAAAATACCAAAATTAGAAGAAAAAACATGTTAAAGATTCTCACGAAGGGAGGTCCAAACACTGAACTGCCTCATGGCGAAGAGCTCGAGGAAGCCGATGAAGCAGGCGATCTGTGCCCAGCCCTGCATTCTGTGGAGCTTAGGAGTTCAGAGGTTTAGAGAATTAGTGGTTTAGGGTGTCGTTTCGGGGGGCTTTTGTCAAGTTTAGGGTGCAGGGGGATGGCTTGGGGGGGGTGACGATTTGTAAGGATCCACGTTCGACGTGAAAGCTTCTCTAGCCGTCGCGTGCCAAGCCAGGCGGAAGTTTCCAGAAGCAGTGCCACAGACGCGCATCACTCTCACACATGGTTTAGGGTTTAGAGTTTAGGGTTTGTTTTCCCTCTCGCCTGGCTGAGGATCTATGCCCACTAGCGAGGTTGTGCAGGATGCTTTCGGATCAGACTGTACTAGACGAAGGGTTTAGGGTTTAGGGTTTCTTGGCTCATGCCGGCTCCAGCGCAAAAAATGAATGTCCTGATCCCTAGCTCGGACCGACTCGTCACTTAAGACCATAAGCCTCCACGGGCTGAAGCCCACCATCGGACCACGCCTCCGCGGGCATCTTGTAGAGGGCCTGGACCCCGTTGGGGATGTCCGCGAACTTGAGGTCTGACAAGGCGAAGGCAGGCAGGAAGGGAACAGGTTCGCGCAGGGCCGTGGCGCAGGGCTGTGCTTCCATTGACTTCGCTGACTTTCTCGTCATCTCGTATCCGTCCTATAGAAACTCGCCCCAAACGAACGAACCTAGCCCACCCCAGGCCTGCGGAGGGGCTGCAGTAGCCGGGCAGTCGGAAGTACTCTGGAGCAATATAGCCAATGGTGGCAAGCATGGCCACGCGTCCTGAGCCGTCTGAGACATGCATGCACAGCCAGTGCATGTACGTCTGGCATAACTGGCACTCTTTCTCGGAAAACCTACTTGGAGGCCAAGGCGCCGTTCTTGATCTCTGCCATTCGGCGGCGGCGGAAGTCTTCCGCATCGTCCTCCTGCATCGAGTGCGAGCATCCTCGCTCCTCGCCTAGTGCAGCGCAGCACAGCTGTCCTTGGCC